AGGAGCATTTTAAAGCCATAGGAGTATGTGATAATGAGGTGCTCCACGCATTTGGTATTCTTTTTTAACATAATATTGCTCTACTAAGCCTAGAACACCTCCCTGGAGAATGACTATGTTAAAGAAATCCTTAAACTTGTATGAAAATTGTCGCGATACTGAAACAGGGTCCTGAGTACATAATCTAGAAATACTTTATGATTGTGGTGCATTATTCACTTTTCTTAAATATTGCGCTATATCAGCTGAATCATATTCAGCACAACTTAATGTTAGGAAAAGTGTTGGTGAGCCATACTGAGCAATCAATGCTTTCACTTCACCTTTCACACAGAACCAATATAGATTTGTGCCCCGTATTGGAGCCAACATGGTACTTAAATTGCCCTCAAATTCTTCATCTAAAATATTTATTTTTTCTAATATTTTAGCAACAGTTTGACCAATGTTGCCTCTTGTTGTTTTTAATAAATTATATATGCCAGTTTTTAAGGCCTTGTTAATTTTTAATCCGTAATAGTGCAGACAATATGAATGATTTCTACGAAATCGGAAATCTTTGTTTAAAAGTCTTGATTTTATGTATTCACTAAATGATAAAGTCTGTGATGGATAGCTTTGTCTGGGATGATGCTCTTCATATTGTCCAGTTGGAAATAAAGTAGAAAAGCATAACAAATCAAGATGCTCTTGCCTATTGTCAATAGGCACTTCTTTAACACTCATTAATTTATATTGACTGATATCAGAACCAGTTACAATTTTACTGTTAAGATTTCTAATTGTATATGCTGAAAGGCCTTCTAAATCTTAATCATTAGCTTTTTCAAGCATTTTACAAGTAGTATTGCTTACTACTTGTATAACATTTTTAGATGATCCGTGAATTGAATCATCGTCTACGTTTCTATAAAGCCAATTTATTTCTTTTAATTTTCTGAATGCTGCTTTAATTTTATTTACATCAACTAAACTACGCCAGACATTATTTGATTTAGTAGGCTGTCCTTTAATAATAATATAAAGTTTTGGATTAGGCAAAGGATTAGAATCTATACCAACCTCATTTAAAGTTTCCATTGTTATTTCTAATGTAAGGGGTAAGTAAAACATTGCACCTTTAAGTGCCTTTAAAGAATTATAGGCAGGCACTTTTGAGGTGTGTGCCTAGCCTAACAATTGTCTGAAAACATTTGGCTCTCTGTATTAACTGGCAACTTAAAGGATCCAAATTTTCCAATTCTTTGGGTAGTGGCTCACACTTTAACCCATTGAGCACACAATGTGCTGGAACTTCATTTTCCCTAATAATAGGTTTACAATGATTAAAAATATACATAACTTTATTTAATGCCGTAGGATCATTCTCTCTAATGTAATCTAATAGGATATTCGAAACATCGCTATCTAAATTTTTAGCTTCAGTGACAGACTTTTTTCTTAAAAGCCTCTCACAGCTACAATATGCATTAACTGCCTCATCAGACAAAGCTTTCTTTAATTCATCAATAGCATCTGAATAATGAAAATAAAGTACAGTATCCAAGTTTGTCATTCTAAATGGGTCTTCTTCACCATCATAAATAGCGTAATACACATCATGAAATTCAGTCTCATCGCCTTCATTAATTTTTAAATCTATAAATTGTGCTATATCACCATTAGCAAGGGAAGAATCAATAATATCTATTGTTAAATGGGCATTTCTAGCAACATAAATGTGTTTTAAAAGGTATCTCAACAAAGGATAATAAACAGATGCATTGCGTAAAATACGCAGCATACTTTTACAATCGGTATCATCACTACTACACACAATAAGATGGCCTATCTTTTCACAAACAATTTCTGAATATTTAAAATATTTTTAAAGCCATTTTCATGCTTTTTTACAATTACTGCTACATTAGGATTATCACAGAAATTATGTTCATGCACTTGATCTATTTCTTCTACATGCTGTGATCTTGTTATATAATGATTATTAAGACAATTGTCACATGCATCTAAATGCTTCCTCAATTCTTTAATGGTTCATCAAAATAACGTCTAACTTCAATAATAGAACTTATGTCACTTTCTAATAAAAACTTGCACCTATCGTACATTGCCATTTGAGGGTTGGCTTTCTCTTATTGGTATACAATCTCCTATTATCAAAATTGTCATCTTCAGAGTCACTATCATCATTACATTCTTCTACTCAATCAATACATGACACATCAACAATCCCTGCTACATAACAGATGCCATTTGCATCAACAGGGATTGCAATTGGACTATCTAATTGGCTATCAGAATTATCATTAGCATACAAATATGCTGATTCATAAAAATAAGGCTCACTATTCTTTGTGTGACATTGTTCACCACAATCACTTAAGCTATTCAACTTCAATTTTCTAATGCTATTTGCTGCACGTATCGATAAGCCTACTTTGTGGGATCTGTTTTTCAAAACTGATTCTAACAATATACTTGATGCAGCATTACATTTACTGTCATATGATGTGTTTTCAAAATCTACACCTTTCATGCATGATGGCAATAAATCATCAACTATTTCAGGGCTGTAATATAATGCTTCAATAATTTTCGTAAAATAATATTCCTTTGCTTCACTATTTGGTGCAGGTAATGAGTAATTAGAACGTAATCTAAACAATATGTGACCATAATAACGATCATAATAATCTTTATTTAAACGCCTCTTATTTTCCTTATTTATTGCTATCTTTAACTTATCCATTTCATTATCAGAAAATTTAAATTTTAAATATATATTTTGTAACATGTAACATTGCATCTCTGTTTTCATAGCAATATCACAACCAAAATTACTCCTAACAT